CTCTGCTATCCTGCATCTCCCTGTACAGTTCCCGACGCAGCAAGCAAACACTCATACACCCATGTAACTGGTTTGGCAGGAGGGGGGGGGGACACCAAACAAACAACAAAACCAAGCCCTTTTTGACCACCTCATAATGAAGGCTGTGTTGTTGATTGTCCTGGTTTGAGCTAGAACAGAACCAATTGATGAAGCAGTTTATAACACAGAACAAAATTGGGTTTTTTTGTTAATGTATTCCTGCAAGCTACTTTGGTCAGTTCTGTCTTACTAGATTTGCATTTTTAAGGGATTCCAACAATCAAGGATTACTAAGTGTTTGGTGTGGTGTTTTTGTTTTTTTTTTAACAGCCAAGCTAGTACCAGTTGGCTATGGCATCAAAAAGCTTCAGATCCAGTGTGTTGTTGAAGATGATAAAGTTGGAACAGATATGCTGGAAGAGAGAATAACAGCTTTTGAAGATTATGTACAATCAATGGATGTAGCTGCTTTCAATAAGATTTAAGTCTTGATATATCTAGAATAAATGTAATTGCAAAAATTTGGCTGTGTCTGTGGTTAATTCAAAGTCATGGTGTAATCCAACTCAGAAATGTAAAATTTGGTTGATGGGTAAAGTAGAAGCTAAAACTGAATTTGAAAGTTGCTGCAGCTCCCCAGTGTAGTACCCAAGAGCATGAGCAGAGGAAATAGAAAATTTACATTTACCATCAATCCAGATTTAACATTTCCATGGCTTTAAAAATGTGAAATGCTCTTTGCTCCATTTGGGGGGAAGTTGCATCTTTGGAAATTTATTCTGCTGGAAGGATGGCTTTAAGGGAAAAGCATAGGGCTCAGGCAAAGTGCTAATAAGTGGGTAATTTTGCATCTTTTCTGGGACTTCTTAATTAGTGCAGCAAATAATGATGTTGATAAAAGCTCCTGCTTTCATATTCCGAGATCCTTGTGTGTCCTGCAGGTTGAACAGCCTGGGCAGGTTAGCCTGGGGAGCAGATGTGCTCCTGGGAAGGCGCTATGAGCTCAAAGGCGACTAGGGGGCAGCCTGCACCTGCAGCACGGGCTCCGGGAGGTGTCAGCTGTCCAACCCCTCCCTGGTAGCTGGAGGATGAATGGAGAGCGGTGACCATATGTTGCCTTAAACACCACAGGCTACAGCTAATGCAGGTGGATAGTTTACTTGTATTGTAAACTTGAAGCGTGCTCCAGGCTAAAAATAGCCCAAAAATGTGTTCAATTGAAACGCAAAGATAGAGTAGCATAATTAACGCCAGTTTGAGCTGCTTTCTTGGTTCCAGATTGGTTTCTAAATTGATTTTGGCATTTTTTTAAGAATTGAAGAACCTATCAGAACTACATTGTTTTCCAAAAAATATCCATAGGAATAATACAGATGCAAAAGCTGTCAAAGTTGTAAAGCTTCTAGACAAATTCACATTTCTAGGCCTTCTGTTGGACTGAGATAGAGAATTTATTGTGACTATGAAACGGAAGCCTTTCATGTGCCACGTAGGTCACTCAGAGATGAAGATGCTCAGTGCCGAAGCCTGGCAGCAGCAGCTAAAATAACTTTTTTGTTCTTTTTTTCACAGAGCATCTGTATGTGGTTATCTGGCACAGCAGGTCCTGTTTCTCTTCGTTTAAAGGTCTGCCAACTTCAGATTATGTAAGAGCTTTGTTTTATAATTTGTCTCAGAAAAAAATCTGTCTGCCAGAGGTTTAAAGCGTGATTAAAGAACTGAAAGTATAATTACAGGCTTCATTTTGACCTTCCATAAACTTAACTCCTAAAGGAGTAGTTTCATGCTGTGCATAATTAATGCACAGTGCCCTTTCTGTGGCAATTCTCTAGCTGTCGCTTCTGCTAAATCATGTAACTTGGTTTTAGCAATTCTGTCAGGGTGCTGTTAAAAGCAAGAAATTAACAAATGCCACATCAGAAAAAAAGGAAATAAAAATTCTGCCACAAAAATTGTAATTTTTGTTATCCTTGGCCATCGCTGTTTCTGACCTCCCATTCAACATACTTTTACCTTTAATCTCTTTCCTTGACCTTGAAATTAAAGCTCTAAGTAGATAAAATAGCAAAGTTTTAGTTTATAAATCAAACTAAAATACAGCACCATCCATCTGACCTGCTGGACTGGATTTTTGTGTGTGTTCCATTTATGCTAAGCACACATGCACAAACTCTCCAGTTGTTGGAAATTCTTTTGTGTTTTTTTTTCCCTGATGTTAGAAGGAAACTTACTGCACAGGAACAAAACAGAAAAAGCTAGACAGCACAGTCTCCCCAGTTACAAAATAGGTAGGGATGTGGGCAAGAGAATTCCACAGAATCCACATGTATCTACGTTAGGGGGTTTTGTATAGTATTTGCATATGCACTGGTATATTACTGTGTCATTGTGCCTGTGAAAAATCAGCATCTTAAATGAGAAACTTCTATCCCAAGTGCACCCCATAACAGAAAGGTCAGCAGAAAGTTTCATAACTTAAATATGTGATACACAGGAATACTGGGAAAACAGTTTCAACAAAAGTGTTGGTTACAAACTAATCTATGTAACTACCTTCAGAAGTACAAACTGCTCAGGAAGCAGGTAAGAGTAAGTAACAAGAACCTGACTATTACAAAATGTGTCCGTAGCTATCATTCTGGAATGAGTGCTTGATCATAGAGCTATTTCATATGAAGTGTTTATCTGTAGTGTCTTAAAGCATGGTAAGATGGATGCCCTTTGGGTTTTTTTGCCATTGAGGTGGGTTGAATGAGCATTCCTCAGTCCAAGTGGAGTAGAACTGTTGATATTGTTTTGGACACTCTTTGGAAACTTAACACTCTTAAAGCATTATCTGTTTTGTTTAGGTATCTGCCATTGCTCTTGCACAAATGATTTGGAGATAATTCCATAACCTACCTTGGTGGGAATGGGGTAGTAGTTACATTGCAAAGTTGATAATCCACTTAATTTCATAGACCAGGGCTGACTTTAGTCATGCAATTCTACTCTGTATCTCTGTTGTCTCCTTCAGGGGAGATAATTTATGCAAGACAGCATATGTACCTTCCCCCATTTGAAAATCAATCTCTTCACTGTTTGTAGCAATATGCGTGCTCACATAGCTGACATGCAAGAAGAAAACTGACATAAACCTTAATTCCTGTAGTAGAAAGGGTCAGAGCTTGCTTTCATCTTCAAAAATCTTTGGGAAGGAGCTGTTCTAAGAATGGATGGTCACTGAATATTGCTGCTGAGAAAAGCAAATGAACACGCTATTTGGAAACAACAAAATTTTATTACTTCACTTGGAGTACAGTCAGGAGAGTTGTAGTAATACATCATTCTTAGAAAGATGTTAGGGAACATGTTAAGGAAAAACTGGAAAATGTTTGATTTAGGCATGTTCAGCAGCACGGTGCCAAAATATTATGATGAGTCACTATGTACTAGGCAGCAAATGACTCAAAGGAAGAGTGCTGCTTACCAACCTTCCAGCCCAAATTCCACTGATCCTGTCTGACTCTCCCAAACTCTGAAACCAGAGCCCAAAGAAACAGTTACAGACCACAGTCAGACTCTTTCTATTTGTACAGCTACCAATACTGGATATGCTCATGCATGCATATACATATATATATTTTATACAAAAGCAAATATGTATACATGTAAGGCCTCACTTACAGTATAAATGCTACATATGTGTTTTGGCAGGCCATAGAAACTAGGTAGATTATCTGAAAGGCAGTCTTATTCTATATACCTAGGCCAATAACAAAGAAACATTGGTTCAAATCTACCCAAAGCTTTATGCTTTTAGTTTTAGTGGAGTTTTATCCCACATTCAACTTTTTAATTAAGTGGTATTGCATCAGAAATTGGTCCACTCCACTTAGCATGTACATTTGCATTGATGCATGTGTGATTCTGCAGCAAGCAACAAGTTGGAACAGAATACAGCATAACTGGGACTACTTCATCTTTCTTATGGGAGTGTACTCCATTTCCTGGCTGTACAGTCTTGCCTCTTGTTTGGCAAAGTCACCCAAGTTTGACTACAGACTTGTAACAGAATATTGTCAAATACACCACCTATTTTTTGAAGATAGGCATTAAGGCAAACAAAATGTTATATTATGTCTTTACCTCTGTTTGACAAGAGCAATAGAGCAACCAATAGTTGTAAACCTCTTTGAGGCTGAAAGCTTAAACATAGAAAAAGAAGTGTGGCAGTGGGGCTTTATCTCAGCTTCTGTAAGAAACATTTTCACTAATTCTTTGCACATTTCAAATGAGCCTAATATCTATATGAAACATCTGCTCCGTATTTTGCACCCAACTGATGCTAAAAGCACAAGAATAAGTGACAAGAAAACATGGGGTCTCCTGTCTTAGTTTTGAGTATAAGATAAAGAACAGATTTTATTTCCACCTTTTTCCTTTCTGTCAAGAGAAGGCAGGGATTCAATGTTCTCTGTCTTGGGATTCTTCTTCAACTGCAGAGTGGAGCCACCAATGGCTTCGCTTAGCTGGGATGTAGCCAGGTGATTCCTACTTAAGGCAATACCAGACAATCAAGAGACCTGTGACCCACTGATGTATGGCTACAGCCTCTTGGATGAGAATGCCTCGATCAAAGTGTCACCAGTGATGGCAAGGAGGAGTATTTTTATTATGTGCTCTTTTGATAGCAATGAGGTATGGAAC